CATCGAGCTCTACAAGGACAGCGGCGCCCCGCCGCCTTTCTATGCTCTAATCCCCCGGCTTCCCCAACCTATGTATGAGCAGTTCGTGGACCTGACGGCTACGATTCCCTCACAGATGACAATACCCACAAGCGGGGGTTCAGCCACGAGTACTGAACAGTTGATCGATGCAGCGTTCACATCAGCAGCACCAGCCGAGAGCCCCGAGCTCCTCGCAACTATGTTGCGAGAGCCCCGGGAGAAACAGCTGGAGAAGAGTGGGAGGCCCGCGGAAGGTCTGGCGACTATGTTGTCAGCCCTCCAGAGGACAACGAAACATACCTGGGACTATCTGTCTTCGATATTTGGGAACATCACCTATCGCTATACCACTTGTTCCCTTCAGTCGGGCAGGACAAGATCCCGATGCGCACTCCCCTCGACTATCGTGCAGCTGGTGGTCCTCAGCACGATAACGGTACAACACCCAAACAGCAATTCCTTGACTATGTTGTGGGATGCTCCGAGTGCCGAGAGCATCACAGCCACACGACGGAAGATCACGCCAAGTACGTTGACGAGGAGGAACACGTCCGGGGCAGGCGCCCACGTCGGCTCCGAGGCTCGTGGTCGGAGCAACGTCGTTGGTGGACCGTCGGCCCCCAGCACCTCCTGGACTAACGGAGGGACCTCCGCTCCAGATGGAAGGCCATCGGAGTGGGCATGTTTGCCGCGGCGAGTTGCCTATCCTGCATGGACGCAGTTGGCGGCGGCGGCAACATGCGACACCTTCGCACCTGGGGGCCCAAGCAGCAATCTTGAGTGCCTTTCCAGCGATGGGCGCGGGAGGTGATTATCTGGTCAGTGGCGAATTCAGACTTCAAGGATTTCGCCAGGCAGCCTTCGCATCATCACGATTCACCAGCATGGCACGTGAGTTCTTGTAAGAATGGCCGCCAGCTGTCCTGATCCAAGAAGGGCACCTCAACGGCAACCCAGTGCCACCGATGACCTTCCGAATGCACGGCTTGGCCGAACGACGGGGCCAACTAGGCGAGGAAAAGCGCGCTTCGGCAGTTGCAGGACTCATGAACTTCAACAGGCGGCCGCACGAGCGCATCGGCAACATCCTCCCGAGGTTCGACTCCTCCTCCTCCTCCTCCTCCTCATCCTCCTCCTCCTCCTCCTCCTCCTCGTCCTCCTCATCATCATCATCATCATCATTATCATTGTCATCGTCGCCGTCATCATCATCATCACCCTCGACATCGTCATCACCAGTATCACCATCATCACCCTCGACATCTTCATCATCATCATCATCATCATCATCATCATCATCACCATCATCACCAGAAACAGCAGCATGATCATCCTGCCCCTCCCCCTCCTCCCCCCCCCCTCCTCCCCCCCCCCCCCCGCCTCCTCCTCCTCTCCTCCTCCTCCTCCTCTTCTTCCTCTTCCACCTCCTCCTCCTGGACCTCCTCCTCCTCCTTCCACCCCCCCCTCCCCCCCCCCCCTACTCCTCCTCCCTCCTCCTCCTCCTCCTCCTCCTCCTCCTCCTCCTCCTCCTCCTCCTCCTCCTCCTCCTCCTCCTCCTCTCCTCCTCCTCCTCCTCCGCCTCCGCCCTCCTGTTCCTTTTTCTCATCATTACACTATCGCCATCATCATCATCATCATCATCATCATCATCATCATCATCATCATCATCATAATCTTCATCACCGTTGTCATCAGCATCGCTGCCATCGTCGTCATCAGCATCACCATCATCATCGTCATCATCGTCATAATCATCATCAGCCGCATCATCAGCATCAGCATCAGCATCATCATCACCATCATCATCACCATCATCTTCATTATCGTCTTCATCATCCTCCGCCCCCTCGTCCTCCTCATCCTTCTCCTCCTCTTCCTCCTCCTCCTCCTCCTGCTCCTGCTCCTCCTCTTCCTCCTCCTCCTCTTCCTCCTCCTCCCCCACGCATCATCATTTTCATCGTCATAACCATCATCCGCATCATCATCATTATCGTTTACCATCATCAACCACATCATCATCATGCCTCCTCCTCCTCCTACTCCTCCTCCTCCGCCTCCTCCCCCTCCCCTTCCCCTAGCTCCTCCTCCTCCTCCTCCTCCTCCTCCTCCTCCTCCTCCTCCTCCTCCTCCTCCTCCTCCTCCTCCTCCTCCTCCTCCTCCTCCTCCTCCTCCTCCTCCCCCTCCCCCTCCCCCTCCTCCACCTCCGCCTCCTCCTCCTCCCCCACCGCCTCCTCCTCCCACTCGGCGTCCTCCTGCTCCCCCTCCTCTTCCGCCTCCTCCCTCCCTTCCTCACCCCGCCCTCCTCCCCCTCCCCTGAGATCCTGGCGCTGCAGTTTTTTTCACCGCGGGTTTTACCGCCCAGTTTCAGTCCCTGGGACCCTCACGTATCGATCCCGATCGAAAGAGTGACAGAGAGATGGGGTCCAGGGCTCCGGCGGTGATTTGTTGCGATGTTGCATTTTTGTTTGGCATCCTCGGATCTGCGGATTTTGGCAACATGCTGTACAGCGTCTCAATCCTCGAGAGAGTGTTCTGAACGACGGGGGGATGAAGAGGAGGATGACAAGGAGAGGAGGACGGAGTCGAGGAGGGGGGGGCTGAGCAGGGGGAGAGGACGAAGAGAAGGGTGAGGAGGAAGTTCAGGAGGAGGGGGAGGGATGATGACGGGGGGGAGGCATAGGGGAGGAGGACCCTCCCCGCAGACCTGTCAGACACACCCCCAGGCGCGCGGAGGGGAGGGGGGGGTTCAGGGGCATCGATAGGGGCGTGGGGCGGGGGGCTCAGAGGGGGGGGGAGGCGGTTCGGTGCTTCTTTGGGATCTCTCCGTCGCTCCTCGGCGGTTCTCCAGGGGCCTCGGCAGGCTTTCCCGCAGCCGCGCCTCGCCGCGAGGGCGCTCCGGGGACGCCCGGGTCGTCCCGAGCGGCCGCCAGAGAGCCGAGCCATGGCTGGAGGCCAGGGGGGCGGGGGGCGGGGGCGAGAGCGGGGGGCGGCGGGCTGCCGGCCAGTCGGCTGCCGTCGAGGCGCGGGCACGGTCGGAGAGCACCTCGGGCTTGGAGGGGCTCCGCTGTGCCCTGCAGGTCCTTCCGTTCGGCACCTCTCGGAGGTGTGAGGGAGGGGCCCTCGCCGAAAGCATGCACACCGTGTGCATGCTTTCGGCGAGGGCCATCGAGGAGGATGTTGGATCATCTTGCCCAGATAGGTTAGCCAAAAGACAAACACATGCTCAAAAAACGCACGGCGTCGAAAAATGCACGGGGAATGGACGTCCGAGCGATGGCGAGTCTACGGCTGCTCCTGCAGCGCTCCTCGCGCACCCAGGCGCCTTTGCGGAGGGCGAGGGGGGGCCGCGTTCCATTCCTCTACATATATATATATATGTAAATATGTATATATGTATATATATATATATGTATACATATGTATATATATATGTGTTTATGTGTGTGTGCATATATATATATGCATGCATGCATGCATGCATGCATGCATGCATGCATGCATACATACAGACAGACAGACAGACAGACAGACAGACAGACATGCATAAATACATACATACATGTCGTGCATGCATGCATACGTACATACATACAGACATACATACATACATACATACATACATATATATACATGCATACATACATACATACATGCATGCATGCATGCATACATACATGCATACACATACATGCAGACATACAGACATACAGGCATACATATATACATGCATGCATGCATGCATACATGCAGACATACACTACATTAATGCAGACATAGAAAGATAGAGAGGTAGAGAGATAAAACAAAAATAAAAATGAAAGAGAGAGAGAGAGAGAAAGAAAGATAGAGGGAGAGAGACAGAGCGCTCCTCGTGGTCGTGTGGCTCGCCTGCACCTCGCCCTCACTGCCACAGCTGGGCGCGGGTGCGCCCGCAGCCGCGCTTTGCGCCCGGGCACCGCTGGGGCGGGCCGGGGCGCAAAGGACCGGGAGCGAGGAGGCGCCCATGCCGCTCCGAGGCCGCCCATGCCTTCTGACGTGGCCCGGTGCTGGGAGCCTCTGGGCAGAGTCCTGGGACAACGCACGCGGCCTCAAAGACGCCCCAGGAGTCGTCCTCCATGGTTCTTGACCTTCTCCTCCTGCTTCTCCTCCTCCTCCTCCTCCTCCTCCTCCTTCACCTCCTCCTCCTTTCCCTCCTCCTCCTCCTCCTTCTCTTCTCCTCCTCCTCTCCTCCTCCTCCTCCTCTCCTCCCTCCTCCTCCTCCTCCTCCTCCTCCTCCTTCTCCTCCTCCTTCGCCTCCTCCTCCTCCCTCCTCCTCCTCCTCCTCCACCTCCTCCTCCTTCGCCTCCTCCACCTCCTCCACCTCCACCTCCTCCCTCCTCCTCCTCCTCCTCCTCCTCCTCCTCCTCCTGTTCCTCCTCATCCTCTTCTTTGCCCTTCGGCCTGCTTATGCTGATCCTCCTCAGCCGCGAGCCCCCCCCCCCTGTTCGCTCTGGTGGACGCCCGGAAGGGGTGAAGAAAAATGGGCACGATTCCCAGCAGCCTGTGTGGTCGAATAGCGACAGCGGCCGCTGATGGTTGGGCAAGCGACTTGGCAGGTGACTTTTTGTCTCAGGGGGATCGTATCCGCGGCGACGCCGACAGCGAATCCTGTTCAAAGTAGGCAGGAATTGCTGTCAGTCTTCGTCCACGTTCTTTCCTTACCAATTTTGGCCCCCCAGAGCTCTGGGAGACCGCCGCCCTCGCCCCCATCCCCTCCGTGTCAAGGAGCGACTAAACTGCATAAGCATATACTGCCAGAGGCCCGCGCAGATTTCTTGGACAGGCGCTGGACACCCTAGCTCCCTGGCGCGCTCCGCGCGCCAGGGGCGGCGCCGCCGCAGGCGCCGCCAGGGGCGGGGCTCTTCCAAGAAATCCGCGCGGACCTTCGAAAGCTTCTGTGTATGCCTTGGTTTGTTCCTCTGTTGTGCGCGCCGCCACAGGAGGCAGAGTTGCAGAGGTTGGTGGAGGAGGTACGCACCGCTTCGCGGGAGCAGGCACAGTGGGGCAAGCTCTCCATCCCATCCATTTCGGCGGGCGGCGTCATGTCGGACACACGGGCGGCGAGGCGAAAGCGTTCCATTGGTGTCGTTCGCGGTTTCTCTTCTTCGGGACAGCCACCCCTTTTCTGTTGTTTTTATTGTTGGTCCTCCTTTTTCTTCTCCTCCTCCTCCTCCTCCTTCTCCTCCTCCTCCTCCTCCTCCTCCTGGTCCGTCTCGTCCTCCTCGGCCTCGCCTCCTTCTCCGCCGAATCATCCTTCCTCCGCTCCTTCTCGTCGTCCTCGTCCCCTTTCTTCTCCTCGTCATTCTTATTATCCTCCGCAGTTCCTCTTTGTCACCCTTCTCGTCCTCGTGATCCTTCTCCTCCGCGTCGTCCTCCTCCTCCTCCTCCTCATCCTCCTCCTCCTCCTCCTCCCCAGCAGCAGCAGCAGGAGCAGCAGCGGCATCAGTATGCTCCTGGTCTTCCTCGTGACCCTCCTCCTCCTCCTCCTCCTCCTCCTCCTCCTCCTCCTCCTCCTCCTCCTCCTCCTCCTCGTCATCCTCCTCCTCCTCCTCCTCCTCCTCCTCCTCCTCCTCCTCCTCCTCCTCCTCCTCCTCAGCCGTTCTGGCACAGGCGCCGGCCCTGTGCTTGCAGCAGCATACACGTTCAGAACGGCCAGGTGTTGTTGCGAGCCAGTGGCTTTCCCAGACAGTTCAGTTTCAGGAATATCAACCCTCACCCTCTCTGAGGGTCATCCACCACGATGTCTGTCCTCATCTTGTTGGCGCTATGACTCCTGCTCAATGGGACGGACAGTGCTATTACACCGCCCTGGCGACAGAGGCGATGGTGGCCCGTACCACCTTCACTCCGCGGGCCAAGCTGGAGGTGGGACAGTCTCAGAGAGCTGGAGTGACGGATGGCACACGATCGCCAACAGCAAAGGAGACATTATATGCAACCACTGTGGTTGCAGAAAGAATCCCAAGGGCGCCTTGCACTGCAAGCACTGCGGTGCACGCTTAGGAACACATCCGCCAGAGTCTTATCTCGGTGGCGGGTGATTCCGACACGAAGGGCAAGGGCGGCAAGAAGGGAGGTGATGTCGAAGGGAGAGGAGGCGGCAAGGGCCCAGGCCAGTCTGGCTCAGGCCTTCCGCCTATGCCACCTGGCCCCATCCCCTCGATCGCTCCCGATAAGGCCCAGGCATTGCAGCGTTTGGCGCAAGAAGCAGGGGATGAGGAGGGTGCCCGTCGCTACGCAGCGCTGGCTGCGAGACCCCCAGCGGGATCAGCTACCAACGCCCGCCAGCGCCTCACCCAGGCCGAGAAAAAAGCAGCATCAGCTGGAGAAGCAGCTCAGCTACGAATATGACAAGCTCCAGAGGTGGCGAAAGGACGTCGATGACCTCACTGCCAAAGTCAAGCACGTTGAGAATGAGCTCCAGGCCGTTGACAAGGATGCTCGGGACGCCCCCGAGGAGATCCAGAAGCTCCACGGAGGACGGCCAGAACCAGTCAAGCCGAAAGTCAGTCTGCGTCACCTGGTGGAGGGCAAAATTGGATTTGGGTTCTATCACTACTTGTGAAGATGCCACCTTGGATCTGGATAAGATCAAGGAGTCCCACGACATCGACGACAATGGTATCAAGGAGCTGGAGAGGAGAAAGACTGAGGCGGCTTCTCAGATGCAGGCTGTATTCAAGAACCGGTTCAAGTGGGCCATGTGCAAGGCTGACGCTCAACGGGGGGAACACAGGAAGCACGTGGAGCGCCTCGACGGGAAGAAGCGCAGGTCGGAGCCTGGCTCAACCCCCGATGGAGGCAAAGGGCCCGCTGGATCCTCAGGAGCGGCAGCACCCGAGGCCCATGCCGAGGCTACCGCGCAGGCAGTTCCAGCTCCTCCCGGGGGTAGCCAGCCATCCCAGCCTCCTCCTCTCCAGGAAGACATCAGGACTAGGGTTGCTAAAGATGCGAATGCGCAGAGCTCCCCGCAGCCTCTTTGACAAGTATCGAGATTGGCATAGTGGACAGCCCAGCTCGGGAAATGATTACGGTTTCTCCTCTACATTGGTGGTTTGCTCAAGTATCGGACCTGTCGGATTACGCGTCGGGATGATTGGCCGCGGCGATTGCAAGGAAGATACCAGCGGCCGTCCATCTACATCGGCTACACCTACGTACACGACGACTGGACCTTGCAGTCTTCCCCCAGAGAAGGTTGAGACTGCCCCGCGGCGCGCGTCATTTGCCGACCCGTGGAAGCCTGCAAAGGCTGAGACGGCCCGCGGCTCAGCGGCCCCGCGCGGCAGAATCGCCGGACGGGTGGAGGCGCCGACGTCTGGGTATTCTTGGGCGGCGGCATGCACGAGCTACGCAGACGGTGCTTCTGCCTCGCCTACAATGGCACGCGGTCAAGTCAACGGCTCTACTGGAGAATTGGCCATGTCCACTTACGGCGGGAAGAGATTCCCATGTTTCAACGATGTGTTCCAAGCTTCGAAGCCCAATGAGTTACCAGTTGCTGGCTTGATCCACCCTGGCGCTGAGAAGGAGTGGATCATCCATGCACGAAATCTCTCAACGCGGGGGCCTGCTGCGCGAGGTCTTGTCGAGGAACGAAGATAGGACGGCGCGATGTTGATGGAGACTCACACTGACGATGACGGCGCTGACGAACTCCTTCGGCACTGGGAGAAGAGTGGATACTCGGCGATCTGCACACCGTCGCGCCCCACGGCCTCGACAAAGAAGTCTGGCGGAGTCGTTGCTGGCCTGCGCAGCATTCTCGCAACTACCTCATTCCGGCACCTGGCCTCGAACGAAGCACAGCAGGTCGGCACGAGGGACATGGCCACAAGAACCTGGATTTCTTGGATTTCGCCCCCATCGTCCGGCACATCAACGGAACTACCATCTGTTCGGTTGCAGCACACTTGACGACGCCCATTGGACCCAAGGGAGTCAATCTCCAGAAGCTAGCTCTTCCTGGCAGTTTTCATCCAGAGTTTAGACATCCCCTGGGCTATATTAGAAGATTGGAAAGCGACACCTTCGAAACTAGTGGAGCCAGGCTGGCCCACCACGATTGGCGGAGTCCCTGTCGTTCCCACGGATGCCCATTATACTTGCACGCTGGGCTCAGGTTCAATGATAGATCGTGGCGCTGCCCCCCCGCACGCGAGGCCGATGATTGCACCTACCACTGCAGACACGAAATGTATCATGGCCAGGAACGCTGTGGCGGGCAAGGCGCACTACGGGCTTGTCATCGAGATCAAAGCTAGGGCTGAACCGGCGCTGGCTCTCTCGCACCCCCTGCCCGCCATTTCCATTCATCGGCCGCTACCGCCCATGGGGCCTGACCCAGCCAGCAAGAGGTCCAGGGCCAACAAGGGTTAAAGCAAGCATCGAGGCGAAGCTCCGCATAAGGCCAAGAAGGAAGCGGAGATCATCTTCAGACCGCAAGCCCCAGGCCCACCCCCTCCGCGCCTGGTCTTCGCTGACTTGGAAGAAGAAAGTTCGGCCGACGAAGAGGAGGAGGAGGGCCCTCCAGTTTTGGACCCTGACCCAGAGCTTTACAATACGCAAGCCCAGCCTCCCGAGACATATCAGAATGGCCAGGCTGGGCACCCCGTTTTATTTTTGAACAATGATATGTGAACTCTTGCGCACCAGGTTAGGCGCAGGCGCAACCAGCGACATGCATCGGGGAATCCTCGGCTGTTGAAGTCGACCCCAAGGCTGTCGCCGACTTGGGGAACCAGCACGCCAAGTGGGCCACCAACCTCGAGGAGTTCTACATCCAGGGCCACAACATCCCGATGGAGAAGAGTCGGTCTCACAGAGGACGCGACAGGGCGAGACCATTTCGCGTCGCACCCATCAAGGGGCCCAAGGATTTTTCAGACACACGCCGACCCAGCTGCCTAATGGTGGACCCGACTCGTTCCTCATCTTTCAGGAACTGGTTCGAGCGGATGGAGATGGAAGGAGAGGGCGGTTGCTAGTTGCACGCATCAGGGAGATGATCGCCACTACACCTACATGTACCGCTCTTCTCCTGTCAGCCTCTTCTCGGCGCAAATGGAGTGGCACCCTGCGCAAAATACAGGACTGCGATCTCGCGCAGAGGAAGAGACTTCTGCAGGCTGTCGAGAACAATGCAGCACGTGCACAGCGTTTCTCTGCAACGGCAGCGCGAAGAGGTTTCGATTCATGGATTCTTTCGATGTCTTCGACTTCACCCGGCAGGCTATATGATTTTATCAGACATCCCGCAGTCACCATCAACGAGATCGTCGAAGCGCAGAATGCGATCACCAACCCGTGAGAAATCACGAAGGTAAAAAAAGAGCGGTGGCAGCAGCAATAGGCTAGTACTCGATTTGTTCCAGCCAGAGTTGTTGACCCCTACCACCGCGCGCAGAGGAAGGTAAAGGACACCGACCTAGAGCCCATCACTGTGGACTCTCTCAGGAGGGCCCGCATGAGTATTTTCTCGAAAGAAAACTAGAGGATGCCAAGCTCTCAGCATCAACGACCTACGCCAGCCCCCTGATGACGGGCTCAAATATTCCATTACTTTGTACCATCAAGTGGAGCAGCGAGTTTCATGGCCTCGGCAGCTTTCGACGGTCTTCATCAGTCTCTTGCCTAAGTCGACGGACGACGATCGCGCCATTGGCATCGCGGCTTTGTTGGTTCGTGTTTGGGGAGCTATCCGCAGCCCGCTGGATCGCGACTGGCGCGAGACGGCTGCAGGCCGTTAGGGCGGTGCGGTCGCAGGCTCCCCCCCATTACGGGCAGCTCTCATTCGCAATGTTGGAGACGAAGCGGCGAAGGCTTCACCGCTCAAGGATCGCATTCACATGGAAGTCTTTCGGGACCTCAAGGCGTTCTATGATTCTCTGGACTGGCTGCGCCTCATGGACGCGGCAGACGATCTTGACTTCTCCCCGCACACCCTGTCCTCACCATGCAGCAGTATTTCGCTCCCCGCCTCCTCAACGAGTCG